AGAAAAGGAAATTTTAAAACTACAGACCAACAGTCCTCATAAAAAGACATAAAATCATTAAGAAAATATTAGCAAACTAATATCCTGATACTGGGAAAATTTAAAAGAATTTATACTTTATTAGTTTGCTAATATTCTGATTCTGGGAAAATAAAACCGATTCTGGGAAAAATATAAAAGGATTATATACTGTGACCAAGTACAATTTATCCCAGAAGTGATGGTTAACATTTATCCCAGAAGTGTCAGGTTAACAATGGAAAAGCAATTAATGTAAAAAACCACATTAACAGAATGAAGGGAAAAACACATGATTATCTTGACATGGAAAAATGCATTTGACAAAACCAACACCAACTCATGATAAAACCTCTCAAACAGTCCAGAATAGAACTCTCCATCTTCTATGAATCATAGAGGATCTTCTGATAAAGGACATTTCTCATACAAGGAAAAGCACAGCCAATCTCATATTTTATGAAAGACTGAATATTTTTCCCCTAACATCAGAAACAAGGCAAGAATGCCTATTTTTACCACTCTAGTCAATATCGTACTGAAGGTCCTAGCCAGTGGAGGAAGAAGAAGAACAGGAGGAGGAGGAGAAGGAAGAGATGGAAGAAGAAAGGGAAAAGAAGAGGAGAAAGAGGAAGAAAAGGAAGAGAAAGAGAAAGAAGAAAAAAGAAAGTAAAGATATACAGATTGGAAAGAAAAAAGTAAAACTGCCATTACTCTTAGATCATATAATTCTGTATACAAAAATTAATCAACAACAACAACAATAAAAAACCTATCTGAACTAAAAAATATTTAGCAGGTACAGGGTTTAAGATATATAAAATCTATTTTATTTCTATAAAATAGTAAATGAGAATTTAAAAATAAAATTAATGAAACAATTCTATTCATAATAGCACCAAAAAGAGTAAAATACTTGGAAATAAATTCAATAAAAGAAATGCACACTGTATATTAAAAACTCTAAAACATTGTTGAGAGAAATTAAAGATCTTAAAAAAAATGAAAAGACATACCAGTTTCATAGATCACAGATTTGATAGTTTTGAGAAAGCCATTCACCCCTAAATTTATTTCTAAATTCAACACTATTTCTATCAATACTATTCCTATTCAACATTCTTCCTATGTACTTCCAAGCCACCTTTATGTTGAAACTGGCAAGCTAACTCAAATTTATATGATATACAGAGGACCTAGAAATAGTCAAAACAAAGTTGAAGAACTTAGACAAGATGATTTCAAAACTTACTATAAAGTTAAAGACAGTAGTACTGACATGAGGATAGATATATAGATGAGTGGGACAGACTAGACAGTCCAGAAGTAAACCCCCACATTTACAGCCTGTTGGTTTTCAACAAAGGTGAAAAGACGATTAAATTAGGAAAATGACAGTCTTGTCAACAAATGATGCTGGGACAACTGGACAAACAAAAAATAACTAAACGCTTACCTCACACCATACATAAAAATTAACTCAAACTATATTATGGGCCTAAAGGCAAGAGATAAAAATATAAAATATCTAGAAGAAAAGACAGGAGGAAATGTTTGTGACCATGGGTTAGGTAAATATTTCATAGGTATGACAGAAAAAACATTTTAAAAATTGATCAATTACACTTCATAACTTTAAGTTTTCAAAAGACACCAGTGAGAGAATGAAAAGACAAACCACAGACTGGGAAAAGTATTTACAAATCATATATCTAATAAAGGATTTATATTTAGAATTAAAAAAAAAAACTTTACAACTCAATACAAAGACCAACAACCAAATTCAAAACTGGGCAAAAGATTTAAAGCTAATGGAAATATGTTCAAAATTATTAGTCACTATTCAATTGACAATGAAAAATACAGTAAGCTACCACTACACAATCACCATCAAAAAGACTGATAACAACAAATCTTGAGGATGATGTTGAGAAACTGAAACCTTCATACATTGTTGGCAGGAATGTAGAATGGTACAATAATTTGCAAAACAGGTTGACAATTTCTTAAAAGTCTAAATATATACTTAGCATACAACCCAGCACACATCCACATATTCATACCAACACAGTTCATAATTGCCAAAAACTGAAAACAGTCCAAACGTACATCAAACAGTCATGTGGAAGGAAAACATTCCATACAACAGAATACTGTTCAGCAATAAAAGGAATGAACTACTTGGATGTGGAATGTGAATGATTCTCAAAAACATTACTCTAAATGAAAAGAAGCCAGAGAAAAAAGACTACATGTTACATAACTTCTTTAGATGAAATTTCTAGAAAAGGCAAATATAGAGAGACAGAAAATACACTGGTTTCTGGGGCCTGGGAGTTGAGCATAGGGACTGACTGCAAATAGGCATCAGGAACTTTTTGGGGTGGTAGAGACATTCTAAATTGGACAATGATGATGATACACACTGAATAAATTTTCTAGAAATCATTTAACTGTAGTTACAATGGGTGAATTTTATGATACATAAATTATACCTCACTAAAGCTGTTAAATGAAGTAAAGAAAGGAGGGAATGAGGGATTTGCCCTGCCTTTTCTCTAATAACTGTATTTCAAGGTAACACAACTGCTGATTAGGAAAATTTCTTTCATAGAAAAATTCTAGCTAATAAATAAAAATGAATGACAATATTAGAAAAATAGTAATGTGTAACCCCTAAGGAAACAAACATATCTCAAGGGATGCTACAAGTATTAGATGAAAAGCTGATGAGGAGCCTTATAATGGAGGAATCAGGCTGATGCTGCCTGGAGGCAAATGATCATTCTTAGCATCACTAAACGTAAAACGAACAGACATTTTATGAAACTTGACACAATGCCGTTAAGTACACAGCACCAACTATGAAGGTTTCTTGCCAAAATAATAAAATAAGCCAGAATCTAATCAAACCTCTGTGTCTACTTCAGTTTATAAAACAAGTAATAAACAATCTAAATAATACTTTAAGGAAGCAATCAGCCAAACCCAAATTGTATGACATCCTAAATTACCTAGTTTTTCTAACAAATTCACAGTATTAAAAACAAAAAAGTGTAGGACACTACTATGGAAAAACAGAGGAAGTCAATGTATATGATGTGTGAACCATACCTCGGTTGGATCTTGATTTAACAAATCACTTGCAAAAGACACTTTGGATATAACTAGGGAAATGTGAATTATTACTGTTTGATTTTATTAAGAAATTGCTGATTTTGTTGGGTGTAATACCAGCATGGTGGTTATATATTTTTCAAAGCCTCTATAGAAGCCATACCAAAGTATTTGTGGTGAAATGACATAATGCATAGAATTTGCTTCTAAATATTCCAGCAATGCTCTTTAGGTGGCAGGGTGAACATGTAATAAGATTGGCAAAATGTCAAAAATTATTGAACCGGGGTGACAGATACACAGGACTTCATCACATTCTAATCTCTCTACTTTCAGTGTTGGTATTATAAACTCGTGCATTTTTGTTTTAATTAGGGAACCTAAAAAGATTGCAAAACAAGGGATACTGAGGGAGGAGTAAAAGACCAAAGAGCCCAAAGCACATTAGAGAGGTCAAGGATAAAGACTAACATGGAAGTAATCAGAGGGTAGGTAATACAAGAAGCCAAGTCTTTGGAGTGTATTATATAAAGAGAGACCAAAAGCAAAGCATAAGAAGAGATCAGAGAAGAAAACCCAGTGGTATATTAATATTTGAAGATAGAGCAGAGAAAGATGAATTTGAAAAGGATACCAAAAAGTGGAATACTAGTGGCTGGGAAGAGACTCCAAGAAAAAAAAATTGGGGAAATCAAGGGAAGAAAATTTCCAAAAGATAACCACTAAGTACACTTCTTATAGCTCCAAAATTTCCAATCAAAGGAGACCAAAAAAAAGGCATTCTTTTTTTAACAGAAGATTTTCAAAATGAGAGAAATGTTTATCTTCATTTTTTTCTAATATATACAATTTCCCAAATACTGAAAACAATGTTCAGTAAAGATTAAAATTCATTATCCGTTAGCACCAAACTGCCACCTAGCTAGTCTGCCACAGTGGGAAACATAATACCAAGGGCTAGAACACCTATACAAAATAAGTAAGATCTTGGTATTGGCCATAAAGAGTTATTTGGAGAAGAGTTACTAAACTATAAGCTCCATGAAGACAGACTATAGGCTGGAATCTTCCTATTTACCTGAATTCTTTCATGTTCCAGGCTACATGTTTCTACATTGCTAGAGTTGCAATGGGGCCAGTAGGGAGGCCAAATGGAAAGGAAAGTTAATGATTATGCCCAATTTTACTGGCCTTTTGAGCCACAGTTGTACTTTAGATAAATCTGGTGAGCCCAGAGCCCTTTCTAATTACAAAGATAAATTAACAGAGCTTTTCATTTAACACCCAGAACTTAAAAAGTATACACTTTTGCATTGCTGCTCTCACAAATAGTTACATCTTTTCATAGTTGATTCTGAGTCTTTTGAAGAATTTACTTATCCACAGCCTGAAAAACGTAATTTTCAAATAATTTATTAATGTAATGAATGCAAATGTAAAATGCAAAAGCATAAGTTTTAAGCTACCATTACTTTGATCTTCTGTTATTCACTCTCTTGACTTGAAATACACTGAAGTTGAAGACATATTTTTTGTTGGCAGGGCAAAATCTCACCTAACATGAATCTTTATCATTATATCACAAACACCCCATATCATCTTAATCAATAAAAAGTTTAAACAAATCTGTTTCCCATAGACCAAATACAAAAAAGAAATAATTCTCAGCCTCTCTGAAGAATATGTATCTTTTATTATTTCCAGGAATATTCTGAAACTCTAAAAAGTATTACAAAGTCTCAGCTCAAGATTTTTAAAGTTCTTCTACCCCCTCTAAACTTTTATTTAACCCAAGATTATAGATCATAAGGATAATAAATCCTAAAATGTCTTAGAATGAGAAATTTAAAAGTCAAAAAACTTACATTCAAGCTGTGTAACCACGTCTCCAGGATCTACTGCTTCCGGGAACACCTATAGTGAGAAGATGTAGGAGGAGGCGGAAAGGAAGACATATATGACTATTTTTTTCTCCTCTCATTCCCAAAATATCATTCCTTTTACAATCACAGAAACTTCCGACATTATTGAGAAATGTCAGTTCCTCTCTGCTTCCCATGATCACAAAAAAGATTTTACAAATAAACAAACTTTGTAGCTTGTGCTACCTCCGTCTCCAACTTCTTCTGCTCTCATTCTTCCTCTAATCTGTTACCATGATCATACCAGGCCTTCTTGGTGTTCTTGCAACCTCCCAAGCTTATTCTCAACAAGAAGCCTTTACATTTGTTATTCTTCTACTTAGAATGCTCTTCTCCTAGACCTTCAAATAACTGACATAGTCTCATAATTCAGACTCAGCTTAAATGTTATTGTGTTCTCAGACCACCTTTTAAAATAGAAAATTCCCCAAATCTTCTTACCGCCCTTTATTCTCTTCATGCACTTATCACTATCTAAAAGTATGCACATATTTACTTGGTTATTGTCTGTTTCCCCCATTACAATGAAAGCTCCCAGACGGGAGGATTTTGCCTGGTTTACCATGTGTCCTCAGTGCCTAGAAAAGTCCACAGAATAGAGTAGGTTCTAGAGAAAAAGAAGAAAAGAAGAAGGAATAAGAGAAGGAAGGGAAGAAAGGTGAGAAGAAAGGAAAGAAGGTGAGAAAGACAAGATTAAAAAGTAAGAAAAACAACTGGTAATAACCAAAAGCAGCAGTTTTAGGGGAAAAGGAAAAAAGACATATAGAAAGAAGTACCAAGAAACAATCATAAGTTAAATGTGATATATATATATTTTTGGTTTTGTTTGTTTTTTTGGGAGTCTCAATCTGTCACCCAGGCTGGAATGCAATGGCGCAATCTGGGATCACTGCAACCTCCGCCTCCCAGGTTCACACGATTCTTGTGCCTCAGCCTCCCAAGTAGCTGGGATTACAGGCACACACCACCACACCTGGCTATTTTTTGTATGGTTTCCCCATGTTGACAAGGCTGGTTTTAAACTCCTGACTTCAGGTGATCCACCCACCTCGGCCTCCCAAAGTGCTGGAATTATAGGCATGAGCCACTGCACCCGGCAGATATATTCTTATCTATTAATGACTTTGCTCTATTTTTATGAAAATCATTATTTAGAATTCAAGATTCTATGTTACATGAAGTCCACTAAATCAATTTTAGGAGTAAGCTGATCAAGGAAAAAAGGCAACTGATTCAATGCATATTTAATGCATATTTTCTAGCTTCCGGATTTCAGTTACAAATTTCCTTTTGAATAAAACCAAAGCACACACTCAGCACTAATAATTTATGTTATGGGCTTCTATTCAAAAATTGGAATCACTTTGATTTCGTTGTCTGTTAACATTTGATCTGATATTTGAACTCACCTTTTCAAACACCATTCTGGCATTGAAGACCAGTGGAAAAGTGGCTGGGACACATTGTGTCTTTTTGTATTGGCCAAACACACAGATGCTAAGATAAATGTCCTCTTTGTCTTTAAGCACGACTCCTGGGCAAGTTACCTGAAAGAAATTAAATAAAATGGATGTAACTGCTTTATAAATTGCCTGAACTATCCTATTAAAATAACTTATTATCAAATATGACATGAAAACATTAGTCTGCTAACCTAATTAAAAAAATACTCATAAACAAAGAGACAGAGAGAGATACAGAAAGAGAGAGAGAGAGAGAGAGAGAGAGAAACAGAGACAGACACTAGTGTTTACAGAGCTAAATGAAATGCTTTCATAACTTCCATCCCTCTGAGAAAACTATGATTTTCCATTTGGTTACTTGTGCCACATTTGAAGTTCTATGTACTAGCTCTTGGGACAGACATGAATAGTTTTAAACAGTCAGCCAGAGGCTCCCACTTTATGCTGAGTGCTGACATAAAGTTATTCAGCCTCATTTAATCACAAAGGATTAACAGTCAGCAGAAATAAAACATTATATTAGAGAATAAAAAACAACACTGATAAAAACCACAAATCTGACTTCTACCACCCAAAATTGCAGTCCATACTTTCATCAAAAGCAACATCGCAAAGTTTCAAAGCTAATATATTGAAACTTTCTAGCCCAATTAAGTACTTTTCACATAATAAATTGCACTTAACTATCCTCATTGTGATTAACAGAAAATATAGGCATAAAATGTGTGGTTATTAAATAACACATAGCAGTCTCTCCAGTACCTACCATATTCTATTGCCAGTGATCAACCACACCCTTAACAGGATATTAAAAGTTTTCTAAGATTGGAATCTAATATAGTATTACCCAACACGCCTAACGATTCAAAGTTCATTTTTTATCATTCTCTTTCTTGACTCACGCTCTTTCATCACCTGTATAATTTTACCTAATGTACTAACGTAAGAAGCAGTAACTCCTCACTACTCCATTCCAACTCCTCATTTATTCCTACCACCTGCCAAGACATGCATCAACAAACATCTCCTACACAAAACTTCTCTTGATTCATCAACTATTATTCAATTCAACCTAATTCAAATTATATGCAAGCAAGTATATCTTAAATTTCCATAGCATTTTGTAATTATTTTAAGGTACAAATTATTGCACATTTTAATTAAGTGGGTACATACCACCACCTTATTAAAAATTTCCTCAGGACAGTAATTTTTTTTCCTCATCATTGTATCCAAAGATACAGACTTTCAGTATTAAGAAGAAGCAGAGAGATTATCTAGTCCAGCTTTGAAACTTTTATATGTGAAACCAACAGAGCCCCAGGAAAGTTAAAGTGATCTACTAACTTAAGGTCACAAAATAAATGAGTCATAAGATTAAATAATATATCTGAAGTGCTTACAGCCGTGTTGGATAGAATATTCATTAATACTATCATAATTATTAGACTAAAAACCATATCATCTGTCATCCTACCACACTATTACACTGAGTAAATGACAGATACTTCATGTCCCTTTGTACATAATTACCTTCTCTGCCAGCTATCTGACTCCATCTCCCTCTTACTCTATGTTCCACTTTTGCCCTAATATATTCTCAACTGACCACAAAAATCAGAGTCCTCAGCAAATCTCATTCTGACCCTAAGCTTCATTTCCTACTCCGCCTCATTAAAACTAAAATTGTTTTAGATTCCCTCTAAATCTGCGCTGTCCAAAATGGTAGGCACTAGCCAATTACGCCCAGAGATACAGCTATTCTAACTTAAGATGGGCTGTAAGTGTAAAATACACAGTGGATTTTTAAGACTCAGTTAAAAAAAACTCTGTAAAATATCTCATTAATAACCTTTATATTAATTGCATATTGAAAGGATATTTTGAATACACTGATTTAAATTAAATATATTACTACTGTTAACTACTTAATTTTTTTAATGTAGCTATTAGAAAATTTAACATTATATCTTCGGCTCAAATTTGAGGCTTTTATATTTTTTCTGGAGAGTACTTCTCTAATTATCCTCACCAGAAACTGCAGTCTCTATCCAATTTGGAATATATGCAAGAAGGCATGGCTTCTTTTTTTGATCTACAATTCTACAAATTCTGCTATCTCTTAGAAGAACACCCAACAGCTTTCCAAAAAGAAAGCCAGAAAAGGGAGGTTAAAGGAAATCAGATGGGACAAACAGAAAATACCTAGCAAGGTGGTTGACTTAGGTCACCTTGACAAGCTATGACATTGACCTGGCAACTTAGAAGAGCATTTACATGTTAGGCCGGGCATGGTGGCTCAAGCCTGTAATCCCAGCACTTTGGGAGGCCAAGGCGGGTGGATCACGAGGTCAAGACATTGAGACCATCCTGGTCAACATGGTGAAACCCCGTCTCTACTAAAAATACAAAAAACTAGCTGGGCATGGTGGCACGTGCCTGTAATCCCAGCTTCTCAGGAGGTTGAGGCAGGAGAATTGCCTGAACCCAGGAGGCAGAGGTTGCGGTGAGCCGAGATCGTGCCATTGCACTCCAGCACTCCACTCCGGGTAACAAGAGTGAAACTCCGTCTCAAAAAAAAAAAAAAAAAGGGAAGAGCATTTACATGTGCAAAGCTGTGCACGGTGCCCAGAAATTACCTGAGAAAGCTGTAAACCTTCACCTCCAGCTGACTTTGAGGCTCTGGGAAAGCTGGAAGTGAAGGCTAAGACAGAGTTGTAAATGGCTCCCAGGGCACAGAAAGCATATCCCAGCATATACACAGAGAACCTTGAAAATGGCTGAAAGACCTTTTGGTTCAAGCATTTAAGGAAATAGAGTCCAATCTTTAGGAGACCATAAAGCTAACTGAGCAAAGCCGTCAAATAGCTACACAATGCAAAGATTACAGATTGTAAAGAGTTCGTTCAGGAAATTAATTAAACAAACAAAAAACAACAATACCAGGCAATAACAAATCCAGGATAAAGGGAGGGAGCTCTGATTTACAGGGTCTCGCATTATTTAAAATGTCCAATTTTCAACAAAAATTACAACAAAGAAATAGGAAGCACAGCCCATACATGGGGGGAAAAAGAAAAGCAGTCAATAAAAACTACCTGAGGAAGCCCAGAAGTTGGGCTTATGTAGAGAGCCAGAGCAGCCCACCCACTCTGGGGGAATCAGCAGCAAGGCTAATGTGAACTTTGGGTGAACTACAGAGAAGTGAAACCACAATAGGGGAATGTGTATGTCTCGGAGAAGAGCAGAGAGGCATAGAAAAAGATAACCAGCTCTCACTGACCTTACTGCAAGATAGTAGTTAGCTGAAGTATGCTAACTAAAGTGTGAGAATTATACCACAGGCTGTTCTAAGTAACTGCACCCTCCCTCTGCTACATGCTTTGCAAATATATAAGATAAAGTACTCTGGGGCAGGTCAGGGCTGAAGAGACTGATACCATCAGCTTTTTGGATCACCTGGCCCAGCTTTATATATGTCTGTCTGTATGTCTTTCTTTATCCCCCACCGTTCCCTCTTAGGTCTTTGAACCCTTGTGCAGTGCAGGACACAGCACACGCCAGGGGCTTACTAAACAAAGATCTGAAATCTATTATAAATAAATATAAATTACTAAAGGAAATCCTGTACAATGGTCTAAATGAAAGTATGGTAATACTGTCTCATCAAATAAGAAATATCAATAAAGAGATAAAAATTTTTAACAGAACTAAATAAAAATTCTGGAGTTAAAAAAAGTACCAAAATGAAATTAAAAATTCACTAGAGAAGTTCAAGAGGAAATATGAGCTGTCAGAAGAGAGAATAAGGGAACCTGAAAACATATCAATTAAGATTATCCAGTCTGATTAACAGAAAGAAAAATGAATAAAGAAAAATCAACAGTTTCAGAGGGACCTGTAGGATACCATCAAGCACAGTAAAATAAATACAATGGAAACCTCAGAAAGGATATTACAAAAAAATGATGTATGAAATCTTAAGTTTAAAGAAAACCAATTAAAAAATCCAACAAGATCAAAGAAATCAACGGAGGATAACCTGAGGCCAGGAGTTCAAGACCAGCCTGGGCAACATAGTGAGATCCTCTCTCTAAAGAAAAAAATTTTAAACTTTTTAAAAGATTGAAGAACTCTAACCTGTACACCCAATAAACTTTCAAGAGAAGAGAATCCAGCCAAATGTGGTGGCTCATGCCTACGGTCTCAGCACTTTGGGAGGCTGAGGTGGGCAGATCACCTGAGGTCAGGAGTTCGAGACCAGCCTGGCCCACATGGTGGAACCCCATCTCTACTAAAAACACAAAAATTAGCTGGGCATGATGGCACATGCCCGTAATCCCAGCTACTTGAGAGGCTCAGGCAGAATAATCACTTGAACCCAGGAGGCGGAGGTTGCAGTGAGACAAGATCGCACCACTGCATTCCAGCCCGAGCAACAGAGTAAGACTCCATCTCAAAAAAAAAAAAAAGAAGAAGAAGAAGAAGAAGAGAATCCAATACACTCTCAAAAAGAGAGAATTTTGCAAACAAGAAAGAAGTGATTCAGCAGGCACCAGTAATCTCCAATAACATTAACGGCTGCTTTCTCATCGGAAACATGAAGCCAGAAGGAAGGGTGTTAACTGACTCAAAGTGCTGACAGAAGAAAACTTTGAAACAATAATTCAACACTCACAAAAATTTTCCTTCAAAAAGGAATTGAAACTAAGAGATTCCCAAATAAACAAAAACTGAGATAGCTCATCACTAGCAGAACTTCCCTATCAAAAATACTTAAAGAGAATATTTCAAGTTGAAATGAAAGGATACTAGACATTAGCTCATATACACATAAAACAATAGAGCACCAGTAAAAGAAACTATATAAATATAAGAACAGTATAAATGTATTTTTCTCTTATTTCTATTTTATTTCAAAAACAATTACAGAAAGCAACAATTACAAAACTGCTGGTACACTTATATTTATAAAAATGTAATCTGCATGACAATAATATAAAGGAGAGGAGGGAGAATAGAACAAAATAGAAGCAAAGGTTGTATCTAACAGTGAAATTCAGTTGATATTAATCCATACTAGA